TCTCTCTCTGCACCTCCCCAGCTTGCTCTCTATCTCTCTCTAAAAATAAATTTAAAAATAAACTTAAAAAAAAAGTAAAGCAAAAGCCAACTGGGTCCTAGATGAGACCCTATATAATGAAAGCAGGAGTCATTGCCCAAAGCTAGATTTTAAGTACTTCCCTGTATGTGTGATGGCATGGCACACACAATGGTCCACTGTGCTTGTATGCTCAGTAGATAACAGAAATTTTAGGAAAAAGTAATGCCCACTGATGACACAGGAAATTAAAAAAACAGGTAAAAGACTCCTAGAGGAGAAGGAGTGACATCATAATCAGAGATAGAAGGCAAGCCTCTCAAAGTTACAAAAGCTGAGAGAGTTTTAGAAGCAGGTAGTACAGAGGACCTTTCCCTTGCACTACCATTTGCCCTTGCCCCACCACATTCCACCAAATCTAATACACCCTTGGGTTTGTCTCAGTTTCATCACGGAAAGCCCCACATCCTAGGAAACCCCCCAGCTGTGGACAAAGAAGGCTGGCTGGTCACACCAACCCCAGCTGCATAAGGCAGAACCTCTCCTCTTGCCAGTTGAGAGCCACAGGCCTCAATAATCTCTGATGGACTAATAAAGGCTGGAGAAAGAGCACAGAGCCCTGGGCCAGAGCCAAGGGGGCCTAGAAGAAGACACCCCAGGAATCAGTGGTAACTCTGCTCCAAGGAACTTGCAGTCCAGTAAAGTGTGCGAAGGAACCACTGGAGTCCCTCCACACAACTGTGTCAGGGTCCTCGACATAACACAGACAAGGAAAGAGCAGCTGAAGCTGCAAACTTAGAGGCTATGCCAAGATCCAAAATCAAGATTTGTGACTTTTTTCATCTAGGTATCTTCATACACAAGGACTATCCTCCAAATAAAGTTCCTAAGAGATGCAAATAAATAGTTGTAACAGTTAAGAGGAGAGACAGGACTTCCAGACGGAACAGAATGGGAGAGGGAGGTACTGCAGGCAGCATGAAGGACCCCCCAACCCCCACAGTGGGGGAGCGAAAATGTATGCTCTGGGAAATGAAAGGTAGTCAGTGTCTCAACTAGAACTAAGTAAGGCCAACGAGTGTACGTGTGGAAAATGAGGTTGTACGTGTAGCGTTGGCTTCAGAATGAAGGACCTAGAATGCTGTGCTAAAGAGTCACCAACATAAGGAGAGCAGAAAGTGAGAACCCTTCAGTGTGGATAAAAATGAAGCCCTTGTTGTCCTTTGTGCCATTTTTCAAGGTAACAAAAGTTGAAATGAACTAAACATACAAAAACAAGACAGGGGAACCTGGGTGGCTCAGTTGGTTCAGCGTCTGACTTCTGCTCAGGTCATGATCTCACAGTTCGTGGGTTCGAGCCCTGCATTGGGCTCTGTGCTGACAGCTCAGAGCCTGGACCCTGTTTCAGATTCTGTGTCTCCCTCTCTCTCTGTCCCCTCCCCTGTTCACTCTCTGTCTCTGTCGCAAGAATAAATAAACATTAAAAAAAATTAAAAAAAAAAAAAACAAGACATTAGTTGGGTACATTTTGGTACACCCATAAAGTCGAATACCATAGATCCATTAAAAACCTTACAAAAATGTATTTACTGACACAAACATAATGCTCATATTATATTGTTCAGTAGGAAAAAAATCAGGTTACAAAACAGGAGGTGCCACCATTATCTCCATTGATTTGGGGTGGCGGGAGAAAGAAAAGGGAAGAGAAGGGAAGGAAAAAAAAACCGAAGAGGGAAGAAGAAACTAAGTATATACATGCAAGAAAAATATTGGAAAAACATATTTCAAGATGATAGCAATAATGCTTTCTCTGGGTGACCTTAGCCTCCCTGTGTTGAAGGCTGTGTCTACAATGTACATCAATTATTCACATGGTAAGAAAGAGGAAGGTAAGAGAACTGACAGAATGTCCCAGAACATTATAGGTAATCAAGCAGGGAGTAAAGGTGGCAAACAGGTATTAAATGCTGTCAAAGGCTCTGAAAGAAGTCTTTGATTGGACAGTAACATTTAGCAAGAAAATCCATCTGCCCAAGGTTAGTCTATTTCTCTGTAATTGTCCCTGAGAAACACATATCAGACACAGCCTCAAAAGCCCTCTTAGGAGAGTCACCGAAACTGATCTTTTGCTGACTAGCTTCCTCCGAGTGGGTTTCACTCTGGGAGTCAAGGAGCAGCTGCCCGAGGGAGACCTTTAAATGCAAAGGTAAACCCATTAAGGCCTACCCAGGGGAAAAAGGACTGGCTTCTTACTCAGTTTAGAAAATCTATCGAGGCAGCTGCAACTGGACGTTGGGTGCTGCTGCGGAATAAGCTGGGGCTGTGCGGAGTGATCCTGGGAAAGCCACTGCACCTGCACAAAAGCCAAGAGTCCCTATACCCCACACCACGCACAGTGCTCTCTCCAGAAACCACACTTCTTTCTATAGAAATTAATAAAAATTGGCTCTGGGCTTAACTGCCTTATTTAGAATATATATAATACACATGTGGAATACATCTCAAATCTAAACACACATATGTACATGTATACGTAATTATTAATATTACACTTTATATAAATGTATATTTTTCTCCACATATACACATACATGTTTTTCATGTATTTTTTACCCTGCTTGGAATTACCTTCAGTGAATTCACTTCCTTCTTTTAACTCACAACTCTCACTGAATACACTTAGCATAACATAAACTCATTTCTTCCAAGTGGATGAGGGCAAGAGGAAAGGAGTGGGGAGGTGGGAGGAATGAATATCGGCTGAATCCCTGACTTGTGCCAGGCACTTCATGTTCAATTTAATTTTGTCTTCATAACATCTCTTTGCAATAGGTGTTATTGGGGATGAGGGCATAGATGCTCAGAGAGGTTAAGTAACCAACTGAAGACTACACAGCAAAGAAAGGGTGGTGAGGAAGCTCAAACCCAAACCTACATGACTCCACAGCTCACACCCAGGCCCACTCCTCATTCCACGCAGCCTCCAAAAATCAATCTCCCATTATTTCAGAGATCCTCAGCAGCACTTAAAAAAAAAAAGGCTGGATTAGGCTCTATGTGCAGATACAGAACAGATCGCATTAATAATTTAGGTTCTGCTAGAGCTGCAAAGCAGCTCTAGGAAAGCAGGTCAAAGCCGAGAATGCCAAATGCACCTAAGCACACTCTCCCTTCCTGACACTGCAAACAAAACCCTAACTAATCCACCAGAAAACAAAAAGATAATGCCTATCAGATGCCAAATGGATGGCTATGTAATTATTTTAATATGATCCCATAGAAAATCCACTGAAACATGTTATGTAAAATCAAGTTACAACCAGCCAGTGGAGACAAGGCTCTCTAGTGGAGAGCTAGGACAAAGCCCAGGAACCGGATCCACGCACAGTGGAATGGGAGGAAGTCAGGCTGCCGTAACCACACTGAAGAGCTGTGGAAAAACCAAGCCCAGGGTTTATGTTAACACAGCAAACAGGAAAAACACCTATTTTAATGTATTCATGGTCACCCTCAAACACCCAATTTCAGCTAAGATGAGGTGCAGTCAAAACCTTTTGAAGTGAATCACAGACAGGAATTGGGGAGGATTACCAGGATGGCTAATTCTACACTAATGAAGATAAATGAATGTGCGAGTTTCATATGCTTGGGTCACCGGTATTAATATATTAATTCTATTTGAAGTAATTGTGGTTAGAATAAATGTCCACAACAAAACCATTTATTTTTAGGTGGCAATGACTCCAGCTGAAGAGGAAGAGTAAAGCAGGGATCCTTAACAATGGCCATTCTTCAAAGGAAAAAAAAAATAATGGCATTCAGCATTTTTCAACATCAGTATGGTTATCTTCTTACTTCGAAGCAGGCAAATATATTTTGAGTGTTGACAGAGCTAAGTAAATACACTCATTATGTTATTGAATCAGGTAGCGGTGTCCCAACCATTGCACAGAGGGACAGCAGGTCCTTACGGAAGAAGGGGGAGCAGTGGCCTGTGTGGGGATTCGGTGACCTCAGAGCCTTCCAGCCCATCCTCTCTCATCCACTCCTAACCAGCCAGGTAGTAGGAATGTGGCTGGGAATTATGAGATTGGGCATTTGGGGGATTTACTGATAGAAAACAAAATGCACTGCTCAAGATAATGGTTTTGACAAACATTGCTTCCCTAAGCAATGGTAAATCCACAGTACCAAGGTCAATCATGATTTTTTTCCTGATTCAAAATTGCTCTGTGCTTTGCAGTAATACTTAACGTCGCCATGTAACATTTGAAGATAAAAACACAGGGTTTAAGTCACGCATCATTATTTAAAAAGCACTTCTTATCCAGTATTTGTCACATAAAACAAATGAACAATAACATTAGTAATGAGAAGCATAAAAATGATTTAATAACCGATTAGAAAATAATATAAAAGTAAAAGCTTTCTCCAAATGCAAGAATCTTACATGAGTGGTGAAAAACCTATAGGCAGAATAGTGAAAGAAGGGAAAGAGCTTACTTAGTCTGATGGCCATGAGTTCAAATTCTGCCTCTGTCTGGTGGTCACTGTGACTGTTAAAGTCAATGTCTGAGCCTCAATCTGCTCATGGGCAAAAGGAGAAGAAAGCCATGTAACTCAGAGACTCACATAAGTGTGAAGAGAGAGAACAGCCTTTCACACCTGCCAATTATTTTATTTAAACAAAGCCTAACTTTGCTAGCAGAGCTCCTACGGATTCAAAGTGAAGTGTGTTAGATCATCTAACATCTGTCCTAAATAATCAAATTGTTTTGTTTTTTTTTTGAGATTCCAATTTTTGCCAACTCCCTTTCCCAAATTAAAGCTTTTTGCTCATAGTTCTTACCATCAAGGAAAAGAAAAAAAAATCACTTCATAAGGACTAAAAGGTCCCTTCTATCCTGGCAAAGAACCTGGCAGCACCTATGGTGACTCAATTCTAACATTTGTTGGTGTCGTCGGCTAAAGGGCTTTTTTTTTTTTTTTAATGTTGGTGCTAATTTCTTACCATTCTACAAATTGTTTTTTAATTTCTAATTTAGGCTCTGAAAATTAGTCTGTTTTGAGGCCGAGTTCTTCAAAATCAGCTTAACAGTTTTCTCATAAAAATGGTAAGCATGAAGCACAAGGCATTGGGAATATACTCATTTCAAACATCAAGAAATCAGCCAACACAAAATGGTTTCACTATTTGTGTTCACAAATGCCAACAGTTTGGAAATAAACTGTAACACACTTATTTTACCATTAATATAATTATGGTCCTGTTGAGGCAGGATGCATTTCAGGTAACTGTACGACGTGAAAGTTAAATTATTTATTACATCCAGCATTATTACCCTCCTGCTGTCCATGCCCCAATGTGCATTTTTCTTATGGGAGGAAGAAATCAATCACAAGAAGGATTTTGTGAGGCATTTTCTAGGTGTGGAAACCCTAGCATGGTGGCATCTCATGGTCCAGGAAAGATTCACCTCACAGATCCCAGTCTCCTGTGAAAATGGCTCTCAGTGGGGACTTGGAAACAATCGTGACTGAAAGGGACTGAGGGTGGAGAAGTGGCGGACTCAGCATGGGCTGGGAATCAGACTCACCTGGGGGAAATTCCAGCCTTACACTTACTAATTATGCAACCCTGGGCTTGCTGAAATGTTCCAGAGTATGCCTCCCCTAATCCAGAGAAGTAGGATAATAGCCCCCATTCGTGAGACCTGAATACGATAATCTTCTTAAAGCACTCAGCAGAGCGCCTGGCCCACCACAGTTCCTCAGTGACTTACAGCTCAATAAAAGAAAGAAAAGGTAAATTCTTCTCCATATACTTTTGCTGATAGGCATCTCTCTGTACTGCCCTTCTTTGAAAAGAAAACTCACTTAGAGTCTGTAACAAAAGTGTCTAATGAGAGATGTCCACATTTCAGGTTCTGTTTTTCTTTTTGGTTTAAGGTGAATAGGGCTGTTTACACACTGATAATTCTTAGTGGCAGTTGCTGACGTGGGTCAATTTGGTCCGGGCAGGATGGCTTGCTTTGTCTGACTAAAAACTGTTTGGCTTCAAGGGTGGCAGTCTGAGAAGGAGAGAAGGGGGTGTGCTGGCAAGGAAGACAGTCCACAGGCCACTGTGGGTTCTGAAACCAGGTACAGATGGTGACATCTCCCTATCGACCAGATCATTCACTCTCCCCTAGGTCCCCAGCTACCCTGAAACAATCCGACACCTCTTTGGTGGCCACATTACCTAGAAGGGGTGGAAAGCCGGTTGGTAATGAAGTGCATATACTTTATGGACATATTTATAGGTAATGTTTTTGTTTCAATAAATATATATTATATATATAATTATATTACATATAATATATATAATATATATAATAAGTAAATATATCCAGTGAAGATTGCTTCCATTCAGCCCTAAATACTCTTCCTCCAAGTATTTTAACATTTATGCCCAAATCTGCAAAATAAAGTTGGTTTGTTAAAAGAATTATTTGATACTTCTTCTATCTATACATATGATTCTTAAGCTTTCTTTACTATCTACCTTAGCTATCATTTAACTCCTGAGAGAAACTATTAATAGTAGTGTTAATGAATGGAAGGTGTAACATGTGAGTCTTTTGAAATATTTCTCAAAATGACAGATTTAATTCCCCAAGGACTATAAAAAAGTTTGCAAAGACCTGAACTGCAGGACTCAAATGACTTTTTTGAGGATACCAGTTTATCAGTAAAATTTCATTCATCAAATAATCTTCTGAGGGATTGCTAGGTATAAAAGTTCTTGTTTTCTCAGCTCCTCTGCTCTCTTCTTGACTATGGTCACTTGGTTACATTTGAGAGCCCATATGATAAGGAAACTTTAGCTAACTGCTCCCTTTATGTCAGACCCCTGGCAAAATGCCTTTATAGTATTTTCACTCCTTACAATATGTATGCAAGGAAAGGGTTAATATCCCCATCTAACCAATCTGGAAACTGAGACCCAGAGAAATTTAGTTCAAGGCCACATAGCTAATCAGTGGCAGCTGCGATATGAATTTTTATCTAGGCCCAAAGCCCTCTCTTTCCATCACCATGGATTGTAATACTTAGCCCCTTCCCCACAACTTTCTCCTTATTGCTTGCCTGCTTTATTAATGTTTTTGATCCTCTACTAAGCACAATTTACCATATTTTCATACCTTCTTCAATTGTACAGACTCTTAGAAAACTGTACTTCGTGAGGATAAAATAATGCTATTCATAGTACTGAAACTACAAAGCTTTCAGGGATACCTACATGTAGATTATAAATGTTTCAGTATCACTGGGTTCCAGTCATTAGAAAATCTTGGGCTTCCAACACTCTCCAGCTAAGTTATCTGTCCCTATGCTTTTCCACACAGTCCATATACCCTTCCTCTCCTATGGTGATGGTACTGGTTGGCTTTTGTTCTGCCAAACCTGGCAGATAAAAACATTAGTCTCTATCCATTCTAATGGGCTTCATATAAATTCAAACAGAACTGATGATATGATCCTAATTTGTAGAAGGTCACCTATGGTTTACTGCAACCAACTAAATCTAAATTGAAACCTGTACATTAAAAAAAATTTTTTTTCAACGTTTATTTATTTTTGGGACAGAGAGAGACAGAGCATGAACGGGGGAGGGGCAGAGAGAGAGGGAGACACAGAATCGGAAACAGGCTCCAGGCTCTGAGCCATCAGCCCAGAGCCTGACGCGGGGCTCGAACTCACGGACCGCGAGATCGTGACCTGGCTGAAGTCGGGCGCTTAACCGACTGTGCCACCCAGGCGCCCCGAAACCTATACATTTTATAGGCAGCTCCTATATTTGACAGGGATGGGTCATTCCTTCTCATGATGCCACTCTGGGTCCAGGACAGCATAATCCTGAACGAAGGGGATAATCACCAGAAAAATCTGAACCATATGTAGAAGATCCAGGCGCCATTTCCATTGCTTTGGAATAAACTTTTAACTTACTTTTAACTTACACAAACAAGAAACAGTCTGAGTAAAAACACAGCAGATTCCTTGTTTTCAAATGTTATCTTTCTATACAAGTATCTCTTTAGATTACTATTTGGAGTATACAGCTGACAGTGTAACATTGTATTTAGACATCATCCTTCAACATTTAACCTATTCGTCAATCAACAGATAGCTTACAATTCTACTTTGTTTCAGTGACTGGATTCCTCTTAAAAGTTATTTTAAATGTGCACTAATTTAAACGTACACTAATTTAAGTGTTACGATTTAGACAATATTTAGATTTTGCAGTGAATGTTAAATAATTTATAAAAATTCAATTATTAAATTATTCAATTTTTAACATTCCAAAAGGTGACCATTCTTCTCTTGACATAAGAATTCACCATAGATGTCTATTAGTAAGAACCTCCCTTAAAGAAAAAAAACGTATCCTCTAGAGGTTCTGATGGCCTAAGAAGGGGAGCCACACAGACCTTGATTCCAAGCCCAGTTATTCTTGGACTGAGGCAAGTTACATAGTTACATAACAAACTTAAACTGAGGCTAAAGCGTCTGTCCATGTCGATAACACTATGGCATAGTGTTAACATAAACCAGTGCTAACCCAGCAACAAAAAATATCTACTTTTCTCTCTGGTCCTTCACCCTACCTGCATCAAGTAGTACAAGCAGCATATCAAAGAGCAGGTAGATGGGCCTACGGGTCCCATCCTTTACATGCCAGTCTCCAGCACAATAATCAGCACAATGTAGCTGCACAGTACATTTTTATTAAATGGATACCAGTTAAATGTAATAGGATTACTATATTTTTTTCTAATAATATAACTACCAAAAAGTACAAAGCACCGTCAAATCCTCTTGTTCCTCAAGCATACCTATTGAAAACATTTTTCCATATTGAGATTCAATAAAGCGTGCGCGCGTGCGCACACACACACACACACACACACAATAATATGTCATCTTACCAAAGGCAAATTAAGAGACAGAAAAGACCATGGGCCTGAAGAATGAAGAAACAGTTCAATAGCTACAGTATATTGGTGACAGTACTAACAAAATTTTAAATAACATGTTCAGACATTAATACATGTATAATTTATACCTAACATGATCTTGTACTCATTATAATGGTAATTCATCAAGGCCAAGAAAGTGTTAAGTTTTTTTTTAGCAAACACATGACTTTGAGAATAAAAAATGTTATCATGATAGTAACAGAGAGCACAGAGAATCAATCAGCAGACCAGTTTTATTTAATTGCTTCCCTATCCCTAAATACCATGGCACATCAAAGGACAAAGGTTTACGACTTTTCTCTTTTATTAAAGAAATTCTTTTTTAATGTTTATTTTTGAGAGAGAGAGAGAGAGAGAGAGAGAGAGAGAGCATGCAAGCAGGGGGAGGGGCAGAGAGAGGGAGACACAGAATCCAAAGCAGAATCCAGGCTCTGAGCTGTCAGCACAGAGCCCAACGTGAGGCTGAACTCACGAACCACAAGATCACGACCTGAGCTGAAGTGGGATGCTTCACTAACCATCGCCCCGGTTTATAACTTTTCTACTGAGCTAAGCCTTATTCCACCCATCCTCTTCCAACAGAGGAAAAGTGGAGACGGGACAGCTGCTGTGCTCCTAGGGAGCTTACCTGCCGGCTTCAGTCAGATAACTTGTTGGCACAACCCCTAAAGGTTCAGGTTGGAAACAGTCCGCTCATTCTTCTGTTCACTATGAACATTAATAAAAACAGCAACAACTACCACTATATGGCTCTTCTTTTGTGCCAAGGACCATTCTAATATTCGTTCATTCATTCATTCATTGAAATCTCATTACGGTCCTGTGACCAAAGCACAAGACTAATAATATAATAATATAATAATAATTCTATTATTATATTCATTTTGCATGTAAAAAGACTGGGGCACTGACAGGTTAAATAACTTCCCAAGGTCACAGCAGCTAAGACTGTTAGTACCTGAACTCAGACAATCTTACATATAGGCCATATTCTTAATCATTGCATGGTACTGCCTCTCATCCATCCACCTCCTCCCTCCCTCCCATCCACTTCCTACCCTGCAAGCATCAGTTTGGTAGTAGAAGATTGTGACACCACCTCTGCCCTCAAGGAGCTTATAGTCTCCTGGGTGAGACACACGGAGCTTATAATTATACTGCAGAGCATAAAGGATGCTGAGAGAGAAACCAGGCTCCCTAGAGATCTGGAGTCTATGTTCTCAGCAGAACAGGACGCAGAGTGGGTTCCCTTTATCTGATACCGGTCCACACAACCCTCACCCTCACAAGTCCAGTCACTATAGTACAAAACCTCCCCTGCCTGGTATCTTCCATCATGGGTGCCATAGGTACATCAGGAGTGAGGCATGGAGAAGGCCTATAAATGTCAAGAAGCATCAAGCTTCTATAGCAATAGATAACACTCAATAATTTATCTCTCTTGAAATTTATTCTCAAATCTTTAAGTTGCTTTAATCCTAAACGAGACTGGTAGATTTTTATGACAATAAACCTAGTGGTTAAATATGGATTCCAAAGTCCTATGATCCAAGTTTAAGTGTAGACCCAACACTTAGAAGCTGCATGACCTCAGGCAAGTTATTTGTTCTATGTTTTAGCTATAAAAAAAAATGGGGATGAAAATAATACCTGTCTCATACAGAAGTTGTGAGAAAAATAGTAGAATAATCCATGGAATCACCCTGCACATTGCCTGGTATACAGTGAGCACCTAAGACATTGTTATGTTATTATAGCAACATGTCTTTGAGGACTTGAAATCCTGGTGTTGGCAATTTTCCATTTATTTTCAAAAATTAAAAACATAAATTCTTCTGGTAAAACATTAAAATCTATTGCAGAGGGTAAGAAAAATAGACACACTGCCATAGTGCACTGGGTTACTTAGCGATATAAAGCTTGTTATTTAAGGCTCCCAATGTCTAGGAAATAGCTGATCACTTAGAAGGTTCTTTGAATCAAATCCATTTTGATATGTAGCTGTGAAAATATTAACTACATATGCTGTTCCGTGTTGTAGGTAAAAGAACAAGCTAGACAGCTAGACTTTCCACACTGGAGTCTTAGATCTGCCACTAAATAGTATGGGAATGCTTAATGGGTTCCTGCCTCAGTTTCCTCATTTGTAAATGGGGATAATAAATACTTTCTTTGTAGGGCAGTTATAAAGATTAAATGAGCCTCTACCTACAAAGCAATTTAAAACCCTACCTGATACATTTTAGGTGGTCAATAAATGCCCTGGAATAAAAGACATGAATCCAGGAAATTTAATTATTCATCTTCCGCTTCAAGCCAGGAGCTTGGCAGTTACCCTAGAATCCTATCTCTCCCTCTCACATCCTACACCCAGTCCATTGCCAAATTCTGTTGAGTCTTCCCCTAAATATCTCTTGCATGCAACACCCCCTCTCCACTGTCATAGTCTCTACCCTGGTTCAGACCCTCAGCATCTCTCATTCCTGAATCACCACCCGTGCTTCCGGAAGGCTCTCCCGGCTGCTATCTGCAGCATGGATGCCTGAGTGATGGTTCTAAACCATAAAGCCATTCAGTTACTCTTCCTACTGCCTCCATTTAAGTCGATTCAAGTCCCTCTCTCCTTGGAGAAGGTAATTTCCCACCCTGTGAGATGGGATACAAAGGTCTTCATGATCTGGCTTCTGACCACTTTCCAAGCCATACACTCATATCCCTTTTGCTCCTTATTTATGTTTGCTTTTCACACATGAATGTTCCCTCTTATTTCCACCACACTGGGCATGGGATTCCTGTCCTTTTGCCTGCCTGTCTTGCTCATTCCTCCTCCAAGGCTCAGCTTCCCTGAGAACCTTCTCTGAGCCCATTTGAGTTGAACTGCAGTCTTACAGTGGGCTCCTGTGGCTCCCTTTACATGTGTTATGAAGGGTGATTAGTGATCTCCTCTCTCTGCAGGGAGTCACTGTACTGTTGCCACTCTGCCTCCTGTAGCTTTGCCTCCAACACTGAATGCAATGCCTGATCCACAGAAGTCACTCAGTAAATGTTTGCTGAATGAATACGTGAATGCAAAAATGAAGCAATAAATATTCATTCCTGCTCTGCCACTGAATAGCTGCATGAGTCTGTTGTCAACAATTAGAAAAGATATTAATCATAAAATTGACTGTTCCTTTATCCCAGTATACCCTGTGTCAGCAATGCATATAAATGTTTCCTTTTTTAGTATACATATCCTTAGATCACCTCAAAGTGGGTTTTTTTTTTTGTTAGGACATAATAAATATATACAAGCATACTTGTGAACATTTAAAAAAATTATTGAATAAATTAATGTTATTTCTCCTAATAGCCCTCATTATTGAAATGTACCTTATAGTTTACATGGAGAGAAAGCAAAATATTCAGGTAATGTGGCACCAGAGGCCAGAGGCAACAAGGGAAGTGTGGCCCTGAGAGCATTTGTAACTTCTAGTCCTCATGAACTCATGGTAGCTTGGGTTATCCTCTGACCACCGCCCGTGGGCCAGGACCTTGCTTGGTGCAGGGAATATAAAGAGTTCCTCTCTGCAACTTTCTCAGTCAGAGCATGGATCCAATATTGTCCCTCCCAAAGGCACTCTGTCTACCTTTGGCATGCCACCCCACTCACTGCCAGCATTAGCGGCCCATTGGGAGAAGAGAGTGAAGGGGAAAATCTATCAGGGAAGAGCGATGGGACAGTGTGCGTAAAGGAGATGGGTAAATGCAGTAGAAAGACACCTTCTAAACAAAATACTCAGGGAAAGTTGCTTTTTGTTTGCTTCAAGTCAGAAAAATTGGGATAAAAAGATTAAAGGTTTGTCCATCGAAATGCATTTCCTTTTAGCAACTAGGAAGATTTTTCCTTTCCTTGACACTAATGTTGCTATGGCAAGAATAAAACACACCATTATTAAAATTCAAGTAATTATAAATTCCAAAAGTTTCCTATGTTTTTTGATTGGTAGCCACTTATTCATGGTTATCAATATGCATAGCAGACCAAATGTGCAATCGTGGATTTTTTAAGAACTGATGAAATGTGAATAGAATGTTAATTTTATATACACATTCTGACTTGATTATAATACTTAGTAATATCTCATACTGTATGAGGTTATGTCATATATATATCAGGAAAAGTTCAACCTGGGCTTGTTTAAACTTCAATTACAGGGGTACCATGAATCAAATTCCTTTACAAAATAGATACTCTTCACGTTTATCTAAAGCTTTTCTATTCTGTGACTTTATGAAATTACTATTACTTTTATGTAATTAAAAGATCCTAGAGGATATTTCTACATATAAGTAAGAGGAATGAACCCCATAATAACCCACAAAGTACATAAGAGAAGCTTTTCCAATTGCTATGGGGCCTATAATGTGGGGCAAAGTAACCCAAAAGCCTTCATCAGGATCTTAGGAAAAGGTAGGAAAAAGAAACTCCAAGTAAAAACAATTCACTTTGCAGAGAATAAGTGGTATATATACTATATGACTGAAAAAGAATCTAGATTATGTCTTGAAAGTAATCTAATGTTGACTTTGTACTTTGAAAGCAGTCCCTAAAATCCTTGGACTGTGAATGTTAAATCTCCTGAAATGCATGTATCTTTGATAGGGAATATACTGGTTTTAGTGTGTCGTGAATTAACTCGTACAATGGCAATGAAAGTGTTAGCCACAGGCCACTTTCTGGATCAACTCTGTGACTGTCCTGAGAACAAAACATTTAAATCTGCTTGCACATTGACATAGCGATATTGATATTTCTCCATGTTCCCTCCTGGTTGCTAAGAGATTTACATTGGACAGACTCTGTTGTACTCATAACAAAGCACTTTGGTCCACAAAGCATTTGCTTCAGCTCAGTGAGCCCAGAAGCTCCCTTTGCCTCACCCCTTCCCTATTTTGCTTCCAAGTCAAACAGGGGCCCAGGCCCCAAGGCAGCAGGCCTGTCATCACTACAGGAAACTGCGGTGCATAAGCCTGGCTCGGCTAACAAGTCTTATACAGAGTATTAACAGCAACGATGCGATTGTATCTTTATACAAATATATGTACCTTCTTTTCTCATGTTTCTTAGAAGCCAGCTTATCACGGTGGGAGTGGGTAAAGATGTGTGAAGAGTGGGCACTCCGTAGTGACCTCCCACAGATGAACCTAATACAGTGCAATTAGACCAGAACCTGGCAAAATATGGCAATTCCACAACTCTGCTGTGCATGACTCTGAAATATGCCTGCCAACAATTTCCTGAGTTTGTACTTTTGTGAAAATCTGTTCAAGAAGTTTATTTACAAGAATATTGAAGTAGGAAGCATCTATATTTAACAT